ATTAATAGGAAGGTATGATGTTGGGGTGGGAACAAAATCTCGACTGAAGAATATGCCTATCATCTCCGAGTTGCATTGGGGGATATACAAGGGTAAAGTTGCGGCGTCGGAAGACATGTCACTTGAATTGTTTGCTACGAAGGGGCAAGGTTCGCGGCTTGATATTGACTTGAACCGCCAAGTGTCCTCCCCGTGTAGAAGTGTGGCTCGTGTTGTGGATAGTGCCGAGCTCTATGCCCCCAATACTTCTAGCCAACCGTCACCTAGCCAAGAAAATGAAGTTGTTGGGCATGCTCTTGAAAAAGTTAATGAAGAATATGTTGATGGTGATGGTGATGTCCAATGTGGTCATGGTGATGATGAAACTAAGTGATGTTCTATGTGATGGAACTAAGTGATGTTGTATGTCATTTGAACTATGTCCGTTAAAGTTTGTACTGTGTATGTCAGTTGAACTATGTAATGCTTATGTCGTGGATCTAAGTTATGTTATATGTCACGAATTTGAGACCGTTTATTTATGAGTTTCCAAAAAGTTTGTTCTAATTTGGGATTTGTCATGGATCTAAGTTTTGGCCATATCCAGAAAGGTGGAATTGCTGTGGCTCATCTGCATACCAGGACGCCAAGGTTCCTGGCGTCTAGGGGAAAAACGCCAGAGACCATGGCGTCTAGCCTGTACAGAAACTTCAACATAACAGCAAAACGTAAGATGACAGCAACACTAAGCATAACAGCAAAAATGACAGCAAAACTAAGCAATATTTTCAGGATGACAGCAATAAGGTATCATAGTTCACGCCATCATAGCAACACCACAATATGAAGGTAGCAAAGTGCACTCCATAAGTGCAAATTAAACACAAGTCCATGTAGCAAAGTTCACGAATCAAACATAACAAAGTTCATGAATCAAACATAACAAAGTTCGCGAGAATCTAGTATTAACTAATTCACTTCTTCCTTCCTCTTTTGCTGCGCGGCGTGCGTTGTGTGGGCTGTGATGGCTCAGGCGCATCATCCATTTGGGACATCCCAAGCACCTCCTCTTCGTCTTGATTGTACTCCTCTTCATCTTGCTGCGCCTCCTCTTGCTCTGGCTCTTCTTGCAGTTGCTCCTCTTGTTGTTCCTGTTGCAAGACAAGACGACGGCGACGTCTATTGTCCCGGCTAGTAGAAGCTCCAGCCGTGAGGACGGCTTTACTTCCATGGCAAGAGAGCATAGCTGCCATCTTGTGGAATCGACTCACGAAACTCTGCAACATAACAAAGATGCAATAATAGAGTAAGTCAAAAGTGTGAAAAGATGGAGGTTTTTGAATAAAGGTAACATATACCTTCATTGTTTTCCTAAGAGATTTCTCAGATGATCCACTTCCCTCATCTTCACCAAGTGCTACACCAGCCTCGTTAACACAATGCAATAACTCCATGCCCTGCAAAATGAAGATCACGAAAATTATCTTTGAAGTACATTTAAATGCACTCGAAGTAGGTTCTAATTGTGTGGAGCATACCACTCGGTCGTGTAGTTGTGCATAGTCAAGTTGTGTCCCTTCGTTGTCTCTCGTTTGTACATTGAAGTCCATATACCCGCTGTCACGATCCAACTCTTCCAATTCTGAATGGTTCCAACCGGGCTTTAGCTTCAACCGGTAACGTCTCGCAAGCCACTTCAGATGCTCTTCATATACTGAATCACTATGTTGTCTTCTTTCCTTCTCCACTAGGGCCACTCTTTGATTCCACAGACTTATCCACTCGGAGTGCTTGATGGCCCAAGTCGAAGTTTCTGGGTTATTCTTTCGACTAATTCTGCAAATTATGTACAAGATGAAAGCATTAGCAAGAAATGTATTTCATAATGGTCTACTATATATCCAAAGCTACAACTATCTCACCGATGCAGAAATTGGCTTGTCTCGAAACTCTCATCCCTCGGTGTCCCTTGCCTTCTCCCAAATTGTCTTGCGACACGGTCTGGGTAGTGCCACTCGACAGCATAGAAGCATATCAGTGGGCATCTCGCCCGCCAAATATTCATGTCACGTGTGCACATCTCGTTCAGCCGGAAAGCATAATCGGCATCATATGGTTCCCAATCGGCCTACAACACAAGATGATACTAGTTAAGTACACGGTTCCATCACAATTGATGTGCTCTTACGTAAGTTATCATTACCTGCTTATGAGTCAACATATCCAGCTCGTTGATGTAGCATTTGTATCGCGCAACTGAGCTGCCTGTGTACACATTCGCCATCTCCCAACAGTAGGCGACGGTCGGAAACCGCCAGGGATCTTCTCCATACCTCCCGTCATGTGCGACCCATCCTTCAGGAGGTGTCTTGTTTTTCTCGGGGCGTCCAACAGGCATCCACTCCCACATCCAAACCTGAAGGCACCAAACAAAGCCACCCATACCAGATGTGCCCTTCTTCCTACGACATGCCTCGTCGAGCTGCAAATTCACAAATTGTTGATAAGAGGTCCGCAAAATTGCAAATGCAAACAAATTGACAATTTGGTTACTAATTACCTGACGATATAAGTATGCTAGTGCTCCTGAACCCCAACTGTACTTACGGTCCCAGTCACTTAGTAGGTCCAAGAATATCCACTGGGCTTTATTACCGGTAGAATCTGGAAACACTACCCTCGTTAACAGATACCACGGATATGCATAACTACTGTTGGGAGATGCAACACTTTCTCATTGTCACGCTCGCCTTCTTCAGGAGGCTCGGGGAAAACACCTGTCAATTGGCCAACACGATCTCGCCAATTAGCACTTACGGTGGTGCCGGTCAAAGCTTCTCCATTGATTGGAAGGCCACTGATCATTGCCATGTCCTCCAAGGTCACGGTCATCTCTCCACATGACAAGTGGAACGAGTGTGTCTCTGGCCTCCAACGGTCAATAAGTGCGGTCATCACCCCATGGTTGATCGATGGAGCGTGTCGCTTGAACTGAAGCACGAACGGGAGAAGGCCCAATCTCTCGAAGTATGGCTCATACCGCTCGTCGCACGGCCAGTCGTGGGCACTATGACCCCTCATGCGCATAGGTGTTAGTTCCTGCAAAATAGCATTGCATTATGGTTAGTGCCTAGCAAAACTGACAAGTAATAACCAAGAATTCAAAAAGATTGAGTCTTACCCCATTATTCTCAATGTCCCGCGCATGATGGTCTTTATCGTACCCTTTATGAAGGCCGTCGTACCACCGTTCCCCCGCCATCCTACAAATCAAGCATGAACAAATGAAACATACATAACACTATATAACATCCTACATATCATATTTTTGGCATAACAATATCAACATAAATGCATATCTCAATGGCAACATAACAAAACCTGTTTATCTATATATGACAAAATCTGAATGCACGGGGCAACATATCTCAATGTCAAGATAACAAGACCAATTATCTATATATGACAAAATTTCAATGGCAACACAACATAACAAAGTCTCAATATAACATCCTAATTATATGACCATATCTCTATAAGAATCAAGCATACAAAATACACAAATATGTTAGAATTATATTTCAAGCAATCATCTATCTAAATCCATATACATAGCAACTAAAATTAAAATGCCCAACCCTATCACAAATGCCTTCTCTTCCCAATCCTACCATATAAACACATGCCAACTCTTCTAAAGTATACAATATACCTACATGACCAAGCCATGGGCTCCCCTTTCTCAAAAAAGTGCAAAGAATACTAATCCTAGGGTTCTAACAAGCATGAACAAGTATGAATTAATGCTGCCAAAATACAAGTTTTGAACCCAAAATAATCGGAGGATCTGGTGGAGAATACCTCAAGGAAGATGGGGAGGCTCAGATCCACACTTTTGATGAAGAAAATAAGTGATTTGGGGTTGATTTGGGTTAGGGGAAGAGAGAAGCGGAGCTTTTGTAGCCGCCGCCGCGAGGAGGAAGACGCCTCGAGCGTCTGGATGGGTTGGGCTGCACCCGAGCCGGCTCGGGCCGGTTTTCTGCTCTCCAGGGGTAAACGCCAAGACCCATGGCGTTTAGCCCTTTGCCACGCCGGACGGTCAATCTGGCTGACCAGGGAGGTGGGCCAGTGCCAAACGCCAGGGTCCGCAGCGTCCTCAGTGCAAACAGAACGCCGCGAATGTTGGCGTCTCGGTTTGGGTCAGATACGAAAAAAGTTTCAGAAGCGGGTCAAATCGTGCTAAAGTTTGCCACATGGGTCAAAACAGTGAAAAAACCCTTTTGTTGCGTGGCAGATTCGGGCGTAGCGGCTCGGATCAGGTGCCACTTAAGTAATGTCAGTCCACGCTTCCGATCTACTCCATCTGTTTCTAAATATAAGCCTTTCTAGAGACGGTCATTTTGCTCCGTATGTAGTCTACCTGATATGTGGACCCAACCTGGGGTGATACGACATAATTTGGGGCACCTTTCCTTTGAAGAAAAAATGATACAATTGTAGTACTCCCTCCGTTTCTTTTTACTCCGCATATAAGATTTGGTCAAAGTCAAACTACTCAAAGTTTGACCAAATTTATATACAAAAATATGAACATCTACAATATTAAAATTATATAGTATGAAAATACATTTCGTGGTGCATCTGATAATGTTAATTTCATATTGTCAATGTTTATATTTTTTAATGTAAAGTTAGTCAAACTTTATAAAGCTTGACTTTGACCAAACCTTATATGCAAACTAAAAAGAAACGGAGTACAAAGGGAGAGAGTATTATATGATTTTCGGCAGCTACCATGCAAGACCGTGGATACAATTGGGCCAGACAAGAGGAGACTCCCAACGCACACAACAACGACGCCCATCTTCCCTTGCCTTTCTCACACGCACACAACAAACACATCCATCTCCTTTCCATTTAAAAGCAAGGCCATCTCAGCTCATCTCCCTCCCCGTCAGCTCCCTCTCGCCATTGATCAATCATCCTCTGCACATCATAACAAGTGACAAGCAGCAGCAGCCATGGTTAAGAAGCTCGCCCTCGCCTCCCTCTTCTTCACCAGCGGCAGTGTGGACGCCACCGCTGGGAGCCTGTCGTCTCCTCCGTCCATATCAGCAGCGTCCTCCGGCAGCATGGCCGCCTCGTGGCAATGGCCCTCCTGCGCGCAGGCCAGGACGACGTCCTTCGACGGCCGCAGCAGCGTGGAGGCGGAGGCTTCGTCCTCTTCGGCTCGCCGGGACTGCTGCAGGACGACTCGCGTGATCACGAACCCGGCCTACTGCGACAGCGACGACGACACGGCCAACAGCTCTTTCCTCTCCGCCACGGTCTCGTCCTCGGCTTCCACCGCGGCGCTAGAGCCGGAGCCCTCGCGGGCGCGCGAGGCCGAGGAGGCGGTCATCCGCGAGATCCGAGCGTCGAGCCGGCTCTTCTTCGAGCCCGAGGCGACGAAATCCATCGTGACGACGAGCAAGCCGGACGCGGATCAGGCGGCGTTCGGTGGGGCGACGGCGCTGGCCATCGACTCCGCGGACCCGTACGGCGACTTCCGGTGGTCCATGGAGGAGATGGTGCTGAGCCGCAGCGGCGGCAGCTGCGAGGACGACTGGGGGTGGCTGGAGGAGATGCTGGGGTGGTACCTCCGCGCCAACGGCAAGAAGACCCACGGCCTCATCGTCGGCGCCTTCGTCGACCTGCTCGTCGGCCTCTCCGCCGTCAACTATAAGCAGAGCGGCCAGTGCTAGCTGGCGAGCAAGCATCATCATCGTCTACGTACCATGCGAGCGCGTAATGCGATTGCTTACGGAAGAAACATTGCCATGCCATTGGTGGCATCAGCTTGATTTGGCGAGAGGTGTAGGGTGTGTTATGTTTGTTGAGAGCACGCATGCATATCTGTACTATACTTGATTGAATTATATGTAGATGTTGATAGGGGAAATACACTTTGGTTCCTAGTTGTATATGCATCCTATATGGAGATTTTTTTTAAATATTTTAATAAAAAGTCAAAATAGGTAAGAACTATTTTGACAAAACACTTGACTTACTTTTGCACTGGTATATAAATCTCGACGAGAAAAAAAACGAAAATTGACCTCACAGCAAAAAAGACAAAATTTATTTGCTATTATAGGTCACTATTCATACTATATTAGCCAAAAATTTGTCTTTTTTGAAAAGAAGTCAAAGGGATATTTTTTTGTGGATTCTTTTTCTCACGAGTACAATAGAAGGTCAAGTTTATTTCAAAAATATTTCCAGGAATTTTTGACTTTTTGTTGAATTACTAAAAACATTTCCCCTATAGGGTGCATATGTCCCCATAGACCAAAAGTTCCCCTCCGATTGATAGTTGAATTATTCGATGATTGCAAATCGCCAGCCAGCTAGATAGTCAGTGAGTGCTACGTACGTACCTCGAGCTTTCTCGCTCCCATGTGTCCTATCATGTAATGCTAAATGCTAATAATAGCTATACCGTACTGATCTGGCCAAACATTGGACATCGTTTTCACACTGATGTGTGACAGTGACTTCTTCACATGGTTTTTCACTTTCAGTGAGATTCTGATGAATTTCACTGAATTTGATTAATTTCAGCAGTCATTGATATATTTACCTTTGGCCAAAATATTTTTTAAAAAATAGTAATACTCATGAATTCAATTTTTCTTCAAAAATAATTAAAAAAATCAAATAGTTAATTGAATTGAAGTGAATATTTTGGCCTTTTGACTGAAACGCAAATCGCCGGTGCTGAAATGTTTCTGAAACTGGAAGTGACAACCTTGCTTCTGGATCCGTACCCCAGCCTCTCTAGCGGCCGCAACGCTACGACATCCCCTCTCGAGCTCCGACCTTTATCGGAGATTCTATTTCAAAAAACCGTGGAATCAAACAAGTCAAAACATGTTCTGGTGCTGATTGCATCGTATTAGTTACAAAGCACTAGACTAGCCACACACTATGTTATGATCTGCAAGACGGCAAAAGCTTGTTTCCCTTTTTCAGGAAATGGAAATTGCACTGGCTCAAGCCCCCAACACACCCCCGGAAGATGCCAGTGAAAAGTGTGCCTTTATATACGTACTGTTTGCTACTGCCATCCCTAGCTACCCTGACCAGCAAGTGATCAGAGGCATTTGGTGAGAGCATGAAGCTGTCGTTGATTTGGCCCATCGATCGGGTGACAATGCCTGGATCTCATCAGAAGTCACCCATGGCTCGTCGAGTGCACGAAAGATGCTTCTCTCTAGCGCCGCTCTGCACTGCAGTGTGTGTGGGTGGCGAGACGCAAAAGCACGTCGACACAATCCCGTTTCATACGGCAAAATTAGGCGGCAGTCCGATCGGGCTCTGTTTGTCTGCATGCATGTGTGTGTTGATTGGCAGGCGCCACTGTTCAGCTTGGGTGGTGGCCTGAATACAATATCCACAGCCTAGCCAAACAGTGCTTCTTTTCCTAACAGTAGCATGCAGATCTCGGGCAGTCAGGCCGAGTGATCCAGCCACGACCTTTCACCTCACCAGACACTAGTAGTATTAGATCATCTGCAGCCGGGCATTCCAAACCCGTCTTAAACCCTCGGGCGGGTCGCTCGGTCAATGACTGGTCATAAAATTTTGATCTAGTCGGACGTCTCAAACAGGCCTCAAACGCCTGAACTGACCGACACCCCTCATATCCAGCACAAATATGGAACGGATATGGAACACCCGCACATGCCCACCATGTTGGATTGACGTCGGGGTCCCACTCGGAATCGTCCGAAGGCCCGGTGGTCTGAAGCTCGTCTCCTCCATCGGGCCAATGTCGCCGTGTGACGCCGCTTCGGCGGGCCGCGTAGTGTCTAGACCGGCTAATTAATCCGACCGTCGGCACGGAAACTCTACCCCTTCACATTTTTCTTTGCCCGTCCACCATCGAGGCCACCACTTTCCACTCCTCGTCCGACACCACTAGTAGCCATGCCCCCATGCCGCTGGATAAGGGGCTACCCATTTCAAACGGCGGAGCACCGTCTGCAGCTCCTTGAGCTTATCCGGGCAAGGCATGAAGGCCGAATGTCGCAGGGTTACCTCCGGATGCAGTGGATCCGGAGAAGGAGTTGGAAGAGGAGGAGGAGGAGGAGGAGCAGGACTGGGGGACGCCGGCGACGTGGATCTACAGGCGGAGCAGCAGGCCATCCTCGATTCCCTCCGCTCGAAATCAGATGCGGAGGCCAGACGCCATCGCCGGTAGGAGATGGAGGCGCAGCACGCCAATGAGGAGTAGGAGATGTTCGCCTACATAGATGAGGTCGAGCTGGAGGAGGATGAGCTGAAGCCCTCCCGCGCGCCTGTTCACCCGGTGCCCGGCACCGACGTAGTGAACATCTCCGACGACCAAGGTTAGTTAGGGTAGTACATAGTATGTAGTTTGTAAGGGTTCATTTGCATGCTTTGTATGGATCTACGGTTGAAATATGAAAGACTCGGATGCAGAATAGCTAATTTGAGACATCACTGTCCGTGGACGAGCCCGATCGCATACGCGGGCGTTTGAGAGACCGGATTTGTCTAGTGCGGGTGTAGATGCTCTTAGTGTAGCTGATCGAGGTGCTTCTCGATCGTTCGTGGATGGAGCAGCAACGACGACGCGTCTCACCGGAACAAACAAGCCCCAAGTCCCAAGACGACGCATTTCGTCGAGCACCTTATCTACAATACGGCCGATGATGATCGGGACAATAATAATGCCCCCAACGCAGTAACTAGGACTGGTCTTTTTTTTCATACGCACGTTCTGATGCCAGCTAGACTGCTTAATCAGCGATCGGTCAGGGTGCAGAGCAGACAAAGATTGTTTCTCTTTTTCTTGATAAGTTGAGCAACAGTGGCCCATTTTCCCTGACGGAGTACTATACCTGACCTGGCCAAGTGATGAGCAGAGCATAGTTATTGCCTCTGTTTGCTGACAGACTGAGGCCGCTGTTGGTGAACATGGACAGAAATCGCCGGGACGTACGTGCAGGTAGGTTTCAGGTCGGCCGAATGTGCCAATCGATCAGTGAGCATGCAGCCATGCACCTGCATGCCGAAAGCCTGAATTACAACCACCACTAAGTTACATCGAGTTCTCGAGTGCCGTAGTAGCTACACTGACGGGCTGTTTGGTTCTAGGCCTAACTATGTCACACTTTGCCGTACAACATTGCCACACTTGTCTAAGGTTAGTTTTTTAAAATAAAAATCATAAGTTGGCAAGCCTAAGAAAATCTTGCCACACATCTTGTGTGTATGTCTTGTGGGGCCCTAGTGTGGCTTGCCTAAGATGTGGCTTGAACCAAACATCCACCCAAATTGATCAAACTTGACTAACCTTATGTATAGCAACCTTAGACAAACTTAATCTCAAACCAAACAACCCCTGAAACGTGCACGAACCACATGCAGCCGCTGATGGCGAGACGCGTGCATGCACTTACTTATCTGGTGATCAGAGAACCCTAATTGTCTCCTCTAGTTATAGTACTCTCTCTTTTTTTGCGGGGCGCTAGAAATAATACTCTACCCTGAGCGGGCAGAGGCCTCCACCAACACGCCAGCCAAAAACAGAAGCGGTTTTTATTTTCAACCACCAGCCGCTGATATGTGATGTGACCCATCACCCCGTGATCCGACCACTATAGCCCTTTTGTGGAGGCTAAATTTCGTGTTTTGACTTTTTTTAAAACTTGATTGAAATCTGACCCTAGTTTTAAAAAAAATCAGGATTTAACCCTTTTTCCTATCGCCATAGTCATTGGCGGTAGGGTTACACAACCTACCGCTAAAATCAGTGACGGTAGGACCTCCGTCACGACCGTTTGACATGAAAAATGCCCTATTGTCCGAGATTTTGGCGGTAGGATGTATAACCCTACCGCCATAGTACTTGGCGGTAGGCTCCTGCGCAACAATAATCTAGGGAGTCAGTCAATGGCAGAAACAATTAGCCCATGCATGCAGTGATCATTTATCTATCCAAACTATATATATGAGTAAAAAATGTCAAATCAGACCCACTTGATGCCAAAAAGGTGTTCTGCTCCTCCGCTCAAAAACAAAGTTGGCAAGCTGACAAGTGAACAGCAGCACTATACCGCTGATGCCTTTGCAAGTTGGGCAGGGAGTCAATGTGTGTTTGCTGCTCCTGCCGCTGACCGCATACGCGTTGAGGTGAGCTGTTCACTGTTCACGAAGGCAGAACATAAAATGCAGGAAATTACGTGGGAGCGCAAGTGCATAGCCTACCGCCAACAAGCCTGGCGGTAGGGTATAATGTCCTACCGCAACAACTTTGGCGGTAGGGTTTTTATACCGTTATAACGACGTGATGACGTAGTTAAACCTTACAGTCATAAATAGTGGCGGTAGGGTTTTTATAGTGTTATAACGACGTGATGACGTAGTTAAACCTTACCGTCATAAATCGTGGCGGTAGGATGTGTTAGTCTACCGCCAGAGTGGGTGGCGGTAGGAAAAGGGTCAGATCTTTAAAAAAATTGAAACTAGGGTCAAATCTCGATTAAGTTTTAAAAAAGGGTCAAAACACGAAATTTAGCCAGTGCACAAAAGATAAACATATATCGATATATCTGCACTGAATGGCCAGACGCCAACCCACAATTCCATGCGTACAGTGGAATCAGAAAAATCATCAGTTTGTTTCTATGTGCGCAAGCACTGAGAGCATCCACAGTGTCTAGAGGCAAGGTTG